ATATATTTAAAATAATAATAAATAAAAAAATAAAATAATATGTGTAGGTAGGTTATTTTATCAGTAAGATTCATTTCAGGGTGGTAAAGATGGTCTTACAAATTATTGGCTCAGCCTGGCCATCATGGCTCAGTGATTGAATGTCAACCTATGAACTAGGAGGTCAGGGCTCAATTCCTAATCAGGGCACATGCCTGGATTGCAGGCTTGATCCCCAGTAGGGGTGTGCAAGAGGCAGCTGATCAATGATTCTTTTTTAAAATTTTTTAAATATATTTTATTGATCCTTTACAGAGAGGAAGGGAGAGGGATAGAGAGTTAGAAACATCGATGAGAGAGAAGCATCGATCAGCTGCCTCCCGCACACCCCCCACTGGGGATATGCCTGCAACCAAGGTACATGCCCTCAACCGGAATCGAACCCGGGACCCTTCAGTCCCCAGGCCGACGCTCTATCCAGTGAGCCAAACCAGCTAGGGCTGATCAATGATTCTTATCATTGATTTTTCTCTTTCTCTCTGAAATTAATGAGTTTCATGCTAAGTGAAATAAGCCAATCAGAGAAAGGCATGTATCACATGATCTCACATGTGGAATCTAAGTAACAAAATAAACTGATGAACAGAGGGGACCCAGAGACATGGAAGCAGGGAACAGAGTGCGGAATCTCGGAGGGAAGGTGGCGGAAGGTGGGTGGGTGGGAGGTGATCAACCAAAGACCTTGTATTAATATATACATAACCCATGGACACAGACAGTGGGGTGGTGAGGGCCTGGGGTGGTGGGTGGGGGTGGATAAAAGAGGACATATGTAATAATTTCAACACTAAAGATTTTTTTTTAATTGGCTCAATTCCTAGGGTGTTGAGGCTGATGGGAGAGAGAACCAGGAAACCAAATAATGTTTTCCACCAAGCCCCTGTCTCAGAGGCACCACCCACACTGACACTGGCAATCAGTGAGAACAAGACAATGGAATAAGTCAGGTTTGTGTCCAAACCCCAGAGCCTAGGAAGTAAGAGTGCACATTTTGCTGTGAATTGTCACTCGCAGCTTCTCTAACAGGCAGGTCCATGTTCTCTGGAAGCACAGAGAAGACAGCAGCTAGCTCTGGAGGAGTGGGGAGGACTCCTCAGGGGAGGGGAGCACTGGGTCTGGTCTCCAGGTCTAGATAACAGCTAGTACTTCAGAAGGGCTCAGAGCCAGCCCTGCCCTGCAGGAGGTAGGGTGGGGTGGGGTGGGGGGGGTGATGATGCTTCTAAGAGGCACAAGGGCATGTCAAGGAGGTGGGAAAGAGCAGGGAGGGGATGGGAAGAGAAGTGACTGGTGCCAAGGAAAAGAATAGACACATGCAGACGCCTGTTAGAGCAATTGGAGAACTACCTTTCCCCAATCTGCCTGCGGATGCTTTGTGCTGATTTTCTCCAACTGGACTGTCTGGATGCTAAGTTCTTTGTTTTTGGTTAATCCTCACCGGAGGATATTTTTTCCCATTGATTTTTAGAGATAGTGGAAGGGAGAGGGAGAGACAGAAAGAGAGACATCGAGGCAAAAAAGACATAAATGGGTTCACTCCCCCACGTACCCCCACTGGGACCAGGGATCGAGCCTGCAACCGAGGTACATGCCCTTGACCGGAATCTAACCCGAGACCCTTCAGTCTGCAGGGCAACGCTCTAACCACTGAGCACACCGGCCAGGGCTGGATGCTAGTTTTATGTGGCATCCCCTGGAAGAATGGGGGGAGGGACCAGGGCCTACCCAGCACTCTGCAACCAGAGCCCCTCTCCTACCTCCCCGGTCTATCCCACTCCCACGCAGGAGAGGGCATCATCTGCTCTGGCCTTAATCTGTCCGCTTCATCTGCACTCTGCACCTCCTCATCCCTGTCCACATGCTGGCCAATGTCTGCTTTAAGTCACAAGTGCATCCAAAAGAGCGACAGTTCTGCAAGAAAGACCCAAACAACATAGCCTTGTGAGAAAGTGATGCTGAGAAAAATCTGCCATCCCCCGTCTCACCCCCAATCGAATAGTATACTCCTACCCTCACATCCTGTTTTTCGCTCATTCAACAATGATTTGTTTTCAGTTTTCAATGTGCCAGGCCCTTTGCCAGGTGCCAGGGACGTGGTGAAACCCAAAATGGGTCCTCCCACCGTTTTCATCCAGGCTGAAGCTGGGAAGAAAAGGTGTCAAAGACAGTGGGAAATAATTGAAGAAATGATATAACCTGATTTTATTTTAAAAATCATGCTTAGCCACTTGTCCAGTTGGTTGGAGTATTGTCCTGTGCACCAAAAGGTTTTGGGTTCGATTCCCAGTCCCCGGTCAGGACACACACGGGAGGCGACCAATCGATTTTAAAAATAAGATCCCTTCACTCTGGGCCTACCCAGCACTCTGCAACCAGAGCCCCTCTCCTACCTCCCCGGTCTATCCCACTCCCACGCAGGAGAGGGCATCATCTGCTCTGGCCTTAATCTGTCCGCTTCATCTGCACTCTGCACCTCCTCATCCCTGTCCACATGCTGGCCAATGTCTGCTTTAAGTCACAAGTGCATCCAAAAGAGCGACAGTTCTGCAAGAAAGACCCAAACAACATAGCCTTGTGAGAAAGTGATGCTGAGAAAAATCTGCCATCCCCCGTCTCACCCCCAATCGAATAGTATACTCCTACCCTCACATCCTGTTTTTCGCTCATTCAACAATGATTTGTTTTCAGTTTTCAATGTGCCAGGCCCTTTGCCAGGTGCCAGGGACGTGGTGAAACCCAAAATGGGTCCTCCCACCGTTTTCATCCAGGCTGAAGCTGGGAAGAAAAGGTGTCAAAGACAGTGGGAAATAATTGAAGAAATGATATAACCTGATTTTATTTTAAAAATCATGCTTAGCCACTTGTCCAGTTGGTTGGAGTATTGTCCTGTGCACCAAAAGGTTTTGGGTTCGATTCCCAGTCCCTGGTCAGGACACATACGGGAGGCGACCAATCGATTTTAAAAATAAGATCCTATCTAGCCACTCACTGACAGTGGCTTGTAGGGTGCCAACACAGAAGCAGGAAGACCTGTGGAGAGTTGCTTGCAGTAGGCCAGGTGTGCCTGGGCAGTGGCAGTAGAAATGAAGAGAAGCATGCTGATTTGATGATGAATCTTGGAGGTAGTATTGACTGGATGCTGGAAGAGAAAAAAATGACTCAGGTTTTTTTGGTTTTGTTTTAATTTGTTTGTATTGATTTTAGAGAGAAAGGAAGGGAGAGGGAGAGAGCGATGGAAACATCAACATCCATTGGCTGCCTCCTGCATGCCTCCCCGCCCCCAGGGGGAAATCAAGCCCGTAACCCAATCGTGTGTCCTGACGGGGAATCAAACCAGTGGCCTCCAGGTGCATGGGTCAACGATCAAACACTGAACGACACTGGCCAGGCAAGACTCAGATTTTTGGTTTGAGTAATGGGGTGAATGATGAGAGAAAACCTGTAAGAGCAGCAGGTTTTTAAGCAGTTTTGTTTAGAATCTGAGAAATCGGGGTGGTTATGTCAAGTAGGTAATTGTTACTAGTATAAGTCAGAGTTGAGATGATACATCTGAGCTGAAGGTATAAATACATTTGATAGTCATCAGGATATAGATAGTATTTATAGAAAGATATCCACAATACATTTTTGGAATAAAAAAACAAACAGCAAACAGTATGCTCGATATGGTTTTAAATGTGACAGAAATTATTGTTCATAGTAACTTAATTCAACAAACATGTATAGAAGACCACTTTATGTTAGTTGTAGGGATTCAGACATGAACAAGGCAGGTTCCCACACTTGAAAAGCTTTTCTCTTTGTTTTAAAGAACTTCTATTGCCCTAGACAGTTTGGCTCAGTGGAGAGAGCATTGGACCTTCAGTTCCCGGGTTTGATTCCCGTCAAGGGCATGTACCTTGGTTGCAGGCTCCTCCCTGGCCCAGGCCCTGGTCAGGGAGCGTGCAGGAGGCAAACCAATCTACATGTTTCTCTCACATCGATGTTCCTCTCTGTCTTTCCCTCTCTTCCACACTCTCTAAAAGATCAATGGAAAAATATCCTCAGGTGAGGATTAACAAAAAAAGAAAGAAAAAGAACTCTTATTGATTTTACTAGTAGAAAGGGAGGAAGGGAGAGAGAGACACAGACACGTTTATGTGAGAGAGATACATCCATTGGTTGCCTCCTGTATGCGCCGCAGGGATAGAAGCCACATTCTAGGTATGTGCCCTGATCGTTCTGGTACATGGGATGATGCTCCAACCAAGCCACACTGGCCAGGGCTAAACAATTTATCGATTTGAAGTGTATAATTCAATATTTTTAGTATATTCACTGGGTTGTACAATCTTCAACTTAAGTTTATTGGATTTTTTTCATTTATACTATTTATTATAGAAAACCTAAAAGCCTTGGCAGGATTGCTCAGTTGGTTAGAGCCTCACACCAAGGTTAAGGGTTCCATCTCCAGTCAGGGCACATACAAGAAGCAAGCAATGAAAAGCATAAATAAGTGGAACAACAAATTGATGATTTTCTCTCTCTCTTTTTCTCCCCCGCTCTCTAAAATCAATTTAAAATTTTTTAGAAAACACAGAAAGTCTTATTAGAAAAAATTACTGTACATACAGACAACTATATTAATATGTTGGTGTATTTTTCCCAATATTTTTTCTTTTGCACAGTCTTTTAAATGAATATTGTTTTTCTGTATACATTTTTTCTAATACCATAGTTTTATATCCCATTTTCACCTTATAAATACTTACCTACATTGCTATAAACATTTTTTATAACTGTTAAAATTTACTGAACACATTACCAGTCAATGATCTAGACAGTATTACCTAAGTGATACTCTGAATAACCTAAGAGATTATTCTCATTACCAACAAAAATATTGATGCACTAAAAGCTTAAGTAACATGCCCTAGCTGGTGTTGCTCAGTGGATAGAGCATCGGCCTGTGGACAAAGTCCCCACAATTCTGGTCAAGGGCACATGCCCAGGTTGTGGGCTTGGTCCCCGGTCGGGGGTGTGCAGGAGGCAGCTGATCAATGATTCTCTCTCATCACTGATGTTTCTGTCTCTCTCTCCCCTCTCCCTTCCTCTTTGAAATCAATAAAAATATATTTAAAAAAAAAGCTTAAGTAACAGGTCCATGTTCATACAGGTAGTAAGTGGTAGGACAATAAACATTACAGAACCAATTGCATAATATTCCAATATTATGACCCAGTTTTCTCAACCATGTTGCTATTGTTGGACATTCAAGCTATTTCTAATGTTTTGCTATTGTAAATAAAGTTTGATATCTTTTCTCTTTTCTGTCATTTTCTCTTTTAGTATTATACCCTTAAAATAAATTTCCCAGAATGAGAATCACTCTGTCAAGTGATGTGAAGCTTTTTAAGGCTCTTGATGCAACGCTTTCCCCAGAGGCTGAGCCGAGCCTCGGTTATCAGTACTGAGAGTGCCAATTTCACAGCAGCCTCGTGAGCATCATGTTTTGTTTTTAAAGTCTTTGTTAATTGTTGCTTTAACTTTACATTTCTCTTATTTCCAGCAATGTTGGGCATTTCGTTATATTTGTGCATCAGTTTTGTTTCTTCTTCTGGGCATAGTCTGACGTCATTAATAGGGGTTTTCTAACAACAAAGAACCCATTCCAGCTTCTTTTTTAAAAAAAATTGAATTATGTAAAGTTGACTGTGTATATACCTGCAGACACTGTAGCCCACCAGGTGAGTACTCCGTACTCCTAACAAATCTAAGGGATTTGTGACTCTGGGCCACTTCTGCCTGCTCATCCTTTAAGTCAGGTCTGCGCTAGGCCCCAGGCTTCTGTGGAGGAACTCTGGAGTGGAGGTCAGGACCTGAGGACTTCAGCCTTGAAAAGAAGAGCTCACCTTCGGCCCACCCTAGGGCTTAGGAGCAGGACAGACAGGATGGCTGCTGATGCTAAGAGAAGGGTTTGCAAAGAATGAATAAAAATTTCACTGGATTGACACGTGTACAGCTTGGAAATTCTGCTCACCCTCAGGAATGATTTTGTACCCTTTACAGTTTCCCCTTTACCGCTTCACAGGAGTGATGCTCACAACGCCCTCTGGGCATGGCTGTGATCACGTCTTAGATGATGGCCGCCCTTAGCTTGTGCTCCTCATAGTCCGAGGTGCTCAAGAGCACGGGCTCAAGGTGCTGCCTCCCCTGCTTAGCACCCCTGCAACCTTACACAGTTCCTTCCTCGCCGGCCTCAGTTCTCCTGCCTGTAAAATGCCCATAACAATAGTACACCGCAGCCCTGGCCCGTAGCTCAGTTGGTTGCGTGTTGATCCCCAGTCAGGGTACACACAAGAAACAACCAATTTCGGTCTCTCTCTCTCTAAAATCCTATATAACAAAACCCTAATATGCAAATCAACTGACCAGCGGAATGACATGCACTGACCACCAGGGGACAGACGCTCAAGCAGGAGCTGCCCCTAACCAGCTTGAGTGTCTGCCCCCACAACCCCCAGAGGGAGATGACCCGATGGCTGCGATGGGTGTGGGGGGGAGGGGGTCATCGGAGGGGAGGGCCAGCCAGCAGGCGATGCCAGGCCGCCAGCCAAGGCGGGTGCCAACGGGACACCCCCCACCCCATTGCCCTGCCCGCCGGTCGCCCCACAGATGGCCCTGATCACCAACCAGGCCTAGGGACCCTACCCTATATATTGGGAACAGTCTTAGATTTAAAAATCAAAACCTGGCAAGGCTACTCTAACACTGAGAGAAACAGGATGATGCAGCGATGACATGCATGGACTCTGGCTTGCACATGTTCTGGTCAGCCCTGATTCTGACACTTATAACTGTGTGACAAAGCCAGTTACTCAACTTCTCTCTGCTTCAGTTTTTCCACCCATAAGGTGGGGAAAATGGTACCACTGCCTCAGAAGGATCATGTTATGTACTACTTTTTATAATCAGGGCAAAAAAATGTAGCTGCCCATACAGCAGCAAGATGCCTTTCACCTGTATGAAAAGTATGGTCACCAGTGCGTGCAGCGTCCCTGATTGCGAGAGGGGGACTGCGAGAGGGATGTCCCAGGCCGGTTTAGGCCCGACAGCCCCCCAGGGGTCCCCGACTGCGAGGGGCGCAGGCCAGGCCGAGCATTTCACGCACCGGGCCTCTAGTAAGTAAATAGAGCATTCTAAGAAACAGCGGCAGCCATACAGGGTTCCGTGAGCATCACTGCGGCAGTTCGTGCGGAGCTGGACCCACGCGAGCACCCTGCGTTACTAGGTCAGGTCCGCTGCGTCGCCCAATAGGGGTCGTCAATACCCCGACCTGTGTGTGGTTTTCGGCCCGCAGTGCCGCCTGCTGGCGAGCTCCTCCCCGCACCTGCACGCCATCCCCTTTCCCGGCCTTTTGTGGCTCCTTTTTCTGGCGGCTTCCGGGCCGGGCGGCACCACGGGATATTGACGGCCCACAGCGCATGAGCGGAGGAGCGGGGGGAGG